ATCCTGGCCAACATGGTGAAACCCTGTCTCTACTAAAATACAAAAATGGATGTGGTGGCACATGCCTGTAGTTCCAGCTACTCAGGAGGCTGAGGCAGAAGAATCACTTGAACCCAAGAGGCAGAGGTTGCAATGACCCAAGATCATGCCGCTGTACTTCAGCCTGGTCGACAGAGCAAGACTCTGCCTCAAAAAAAAAAAAAATTAACTAGGTATGGTGACAGGCGCCTGTAATCCCAGCTGCTGAGGCAGGAGAATCACTTAAACCCGGGAGGTGGAGGTTGCAGTAAGCCGAGACAGCACCATTGCACTCAAGCTTGGGCAACAAGAGCAAAACTGTCTAAAAAAAAAAAAAAAAAAGTGCAACTGTATACTGACAAATAAGGCTCTGAGCATCTGAAATGTGGCTGCTCTGCACTGAGATGTATTATAAGCGTAAAACACACACTAGATTTCAAAGGCTTAGCACAAAAAAAGAAGATAAAATATTTCATTAGTAGTTTTTTTCTGTTAATAACGACAGATTAAAATGCATATATTTTGGATATAATTGGGTTAAATGAAGTGTATCATTTAGATGACTTGTTTCCTTTTACAAGTCTTCCTTTACAAGCCTTGTCTCCTGTTACCAGGCAGAGTCTTGCTGTGTTGCTCAGGCTGGTCTTGAAGTGATCCTCCTGCCTTGGCCTCCCAAAGTGCTAGGATTACAAGCGTGAGCCACTGTGCCCAGCCTTATGGCTCTTTCTATATATTTGATATTACTATTCAAAAATTATAAATTACAGATGTGGCTCACATGTCATTTCCATTTTACAGAGGAGGAAATAAGCTTCAGAGGGCTTGAGAGGCATGTGGTACAAAGCCCAGGTATGACCCGGTAAGTGAGCCCTTGGATTTGTAAGCTGATGAGACTTCAAAAGAGATACATTCCCTAGGCCTTGCCTCTGGCTAGGGGACAAATGCCAGAACATTTCATGCTCAGAGAGTCACATCTCCTCCTCCCCTGAATCTTGACCAACCAGCAGTACATTTGGCCTTTGAGGGTGGCCTCAGAGTTGGTGCTGTGACCTATGGATGTGGGAGGGTCCCCAAGATGCTCAGGCTGTTGTCTGACCCCTCTCCCCAATCCCAGGCCAGCTCCAACTGTACCTGAAAGCCTTCTGTCCTGCTCGAACCCCTCAGCTTGGATATCAGCTGTGGCTCCCTCCCAGGCATCCACCGTCAGGTTATCTTGCAGCCTCCACTGTGGACCTATTTCTGTCCGTCTCCAACTGTTGCTCAGGCCACAGATCACTCTCCCCACTGATGAGCACACCAGTGCGTGTGTGTCCAGAGCTAGCCATTAGGAGACACTCCCAAGCCTCTGCAGCAGCAGCAGCAGCTATAGGGTGACCATAGGGTTGGAAGCCAGCCCTCTGCAGAAGGAGCTTCAGGGGGATCAGGTCTTCACAGCCATCCCCTTTCTATGATGCTTCACAGCATCATAGAAAGGACCTGCTCTGGGGCCCATGGCCTGCACTGGAGGGAAGACTGTGACCCTCACCTGGGCATAGACTCTGCAGGCTGTGGCTGCTGACGGGCCCACAGCCCTGCCTGGATTAATCTGAGGGCCACTCCTGGCTGCCCAGGGAGGGCGTGTCTGGAGTCCTGGGAGCAAGTAGAGCCCATCTTGTCTTGGGTGTCCCAATGTCTCCAGCATCACCTCCAGGAAAAAATCTTGCCCTGAGTGAGGACTCAGGATCCAGTCCTGGGTCCCTTTGAGACCATGTGTGCTGGGATCCAACTGGGACATCCCATTTCAATATAATAGGGTCAAATCTGGGGCTGTGATTATAACATAAGGAGGCCACTTTCAGCTTTAAAATAGTTTTAAATTTAAAAAGTGAATTAAGGGAAAGGACTTAGGGAGTGAGGATTCTTGGCAGCCTAAGGATAATTATTATAAAACCAGCTCCCATTTTCCAAGTCCTCTGCAGTGCCAGGCCTGTGTTGCCACCATCCCTGGGAGGCACTGGACAGGATCCCTGGCACAGTCAGCAGCCCGGGGGCTGTTATACCACCTCCAGATGGCCACCACCATACCCATCCCACCCTCCTTTGAGCCCAGTTGCTCTGGTATAGAATAGAAGAGTTATTGGACAGATCCAGGTTCAAATCCTGCTCTGTGACCTGCTTACCTAACTTTCTGAGCCTCATCATCCTCATCTGTAAAATGGGGGTAACAACAGTTCTTGGATCACAGGGAGAGCTGGACATCTGCCCCAGGCCCTTTGCCTGCCTTAACAGGCACATTACTGTCATTTCTTCCCTGTTGCCACAGCTGCCTGCCTCCAAGCTGAGCAAATGCTGTCCTCCAGACACCTCTCCCTCAGCTCACCATCTCCTCAAAAGTGGAGGGAGGGGCCGGGCATGGTGGCTCATGCCCGTAATCCCAGCACTTTGGGAGGTGAAGCCAGGCAGATCTCGAGGTCAAGAGATGGAGACCATCCTGGCCAACATGATGAAACCCTATCTCTACTAAAAATACAAAAATTAGCTGGGCGTGGTGGCACACATCTGTAGTCCCAGCTACTTGGGAGGCGGAGGCAGGAGAATTGCTTGAACCCAGGAGGCAGAGGTTGCAGTGAGCAAAGATCATGCCATTGCACTCCAGCCTATCGACAGAGGGAGACTCCATCTCAAAAAAAAAAAAAAAAAAAACAAAAAACAAGTGGAGGGAGAAAATGGCCCCTATCTAGATCAGGCCACAGGTGCCTGCAGGGGTAACTCTCTATCTGGCCTGCTCCTCCTGTACACCCACTCTTGCCCACTCCGGAGACAAGTTTGTCCTAAGCATGGGAGTGGGAGGGAGGGCCATAGAGCAGGCCTCTCCCTTCCCCCCACCTCACTGAGGTCAAAGTTAGAGGTCTCAGGCCCAAAAGTGCCTTGTGGCCTGGAAGTTCCCTTCTGGTATAGTGGCAATGACAGAAGCTGTAACCAAAGTGAGCAGATGACATGCACCACCAGCCCCTCCTAGGCTTGCAGTGGGACCTCCTTCCCAAGCGTGTTCAGACATGCCTGTCTCCCCACAGCCCCTCCACTGTCCCTTTCTCCCCCTTCACAACTAAACGTGTACATTTGAGGTCCCAGTTTCTCACCCCCCTCACTCCTCAGCACCCCCAGTGTCTGCCTCTTGCCCCTACCCCTGTCTCATCTGGGTCACAATCATCACTTGGTCTCTAAGCCCAACTGTGAACTTGCCTTGGGCACTCTCTGGACTTGGACTGGGGACTAGGGTGAGGATGCACATTTAAAAAGGCACTCTAGGCCAGGCTTGGTGGCTCATGCCTGTAATCCCAGCACTTTGGGAGGCCAAGACAGGCAGATCACAAGGTCATGAGTTCGAGATCCCAGCCTGGCCAACATGGTGAAACCCTGACTCTACTAAAAATACAAAAATTAGCTGAGTGTGGTGGCGGGCACCTGTAATCCCAGCTACTCGGGAGGCTGAGGCAGGAGAATCTCTTAAACCTGGGAGGTGGAGGTTGTAATGAGGCGAGATCCATGCCGCTGCACTGCAGCCTGGGCTACAGAGCATGACTCTGTCTCGAAAATAAATAAATGAATAAATAAATAAATACAAACAAAGAGGCACTCCCTCCTGGGGTTGTGCATGTGCAGGGCCTGAGCCTGAAGGCACCCCTTAAATTTTCCTTCCAGGATCCCACAATGCTGCTTGTCCAATGTGGCCAGCTTCCCCCCAGGGTTCCCAGAGCAGGTAAAGGCTCCATTTTCTGCCCAGGGATATGCCCTGGACTCCTCTCTTCCCTGGACAGCCAAACACTGTCTTTTGGGCACCACCTCCCTCTTATCCAGCCCTTGTCCTCCACCTACCTCTATGCTGTTCCCTCCCTCCTGGACGTGGCCACTACTTGCTCCTTGCCACCATTCCTGCCTGCCCATCTGCATTCCTCAGGGATCTTCCCCAACTGCAGGCCTGGCCCTGCCCCTCCTCTACTACAAGCCCTTGGTAGCTCCCCATCAGCCTGGGGAGAGGGTCCCAGGTTTCCCCCAGGGCTGTAGTCCCACTGAGCCTTTTGAGCTCACAAGCACAATGGGCTGTCACCTCTGAGCCTGCACACCTGTCCTTCCCTTGGCTTAAACACGTTGTTCCCTTCTCTCTGACATCAAATACTGGTTGGTACCCTCCCTCCCTCTCTCTTGCCCTTCCTTCCTTCCTTCCTTCCTTCCTTCCTTCCTTCCTTCCTTCCTTAGTTCCTTCCCTCCTTCCTTCCTTCCTTCCTCCCTCCCTCCCTTCCTCCCTCCCTCCCTTCCTTCCCTCCCTCTCTCCCTTTCTTCCTCCCTCCCTTCCTTCCTTCCTTCCCTCCCTCCCTCTCTCCCTCCTTTCTTTTTTCCTTCCTTTCTTTTTTCTCTTTTTCTTTCTTTCTTTCCTTCTTTCTTTCTTTCTTTCTTTCTTTCTTTCTTTCTTTCTTTCTTTTCTTTCTTCTTCATTCTTCCTCTTTCTTTCTCAGAATCTCATTCTGTCACCCAGGCTGGAGTACAGCGGTGCAAGCTCAGCCCACTGTAACCTCTGCCTCCTGGGTTCAACCGATTCTCCTGCCTCATCCTCCTGAGTAGCTGGGATTATAGGCACATGCCGTTACCACCCAGCTAAGTTTTTTATTTTTAGTGGAGACAGGGTTCCACTATGTTGGCCAGGCTGGTCTTGAACTCCTGAGCTCAAGTGGTCCACACGCTTTGGTCTCTCAAAGTGCTGGGACTATAGGCATGAGCCACTGCGCCTGGCCAGAATTTCATTTCCTGACTGAATGAGATGGTCTCTCCCTCTTCTCTGCTCCCATAGCCCCTGCCCTGCCATTGTGTAACTCTCACCTGCTCACCACCCATATCCCTCCCAACACACAGTGCTTGACTCACCACCATTGCTCCCCAAAGCCTAGGACGGTGCTAGAAACAGCACAAGCACGCAATTGGTATTTGTTGCATGGATACATAAATTTATTAATTCAATAGGGATGGATTGTCATGTAGGTGGCTTTGGTGGCTGGGTGGGGACAAGGGGAGATACTGTATAAGCTATAGCCAGGGCCTGCCCGTGGCAGCAGGTGGCTGGAGGGAGAAGGCCACGTCACCTCCAGCATGCTGGGTGCTGATTTTCATGGCCTGGCAGTGAGGTGCGTGCATGGCAGAGCCTGCAGAAGAGGTAATGCCGAGAGGGCAGCTCTGCCCACCTCTGATTATTGCTTGAGTCTCTCTGGTAGTGTCAGCTGCCCGCCCCAGGGAGCTCGGTCTTCTCCATCACAGTGTGCGCGCGGGGTGGGGCTGCTGACACTGCCAGTGGGGAAGACCAGAGGAGGTTCCCAGGGGTCTTTGGGTCTTGGAAAGCAGAGGCAGCCCCAGGCTTGAACCCTGCTTAGCTCCTGTCCTTCCGGCCCCCAGGGCAGCTGAAGGATGCCCCAGACTCAAGGATCCCGTCCAGAAGCCTCCAGGGTGACCAAGGAGCAAACTGGCTGAAGGAGGGTCCCCAGCACCCCCTAGGGAGGGAGCCTCAGATGGTTTGGTGTCTGCTGACATGGAAGCCCTTGGGAAGATGGTGCCCTAGTGGCTGGCTAGGCAGGCGGGCAGCTCAGGCCCGGAAGGAGGCCTTGACCACGCGGCCCTTCAGTGGCTGTGGTGGCCGGAAGTTGTTCACCATGTGGACCCTCTCATCGTCCTCTGAGGTAAAAAGCAGGCTCCGGAACTTCCCCATCTTGAGGAATCAGAAGGGATACTCAGGGCAGAATGGGGGTGCTGTGGTCCTCTATGACCCCAGATGCATCATCTGGCATACTTGCCCAGCCAGCTCTACCCCGCCCTCCTCCTTCTCCTAGGGCTTGTCCCTTCTCTTCCCTACTCATTCTTCTCTTTGGGACTCTCATTTACTTACTCACTAAAGGGCTTGGACCCTGCTTCACCTAGTTCTAGTTCTAGCTAAAACTTATCTGCAAATGTAGCATTCAGATTCCAACACGGTGGGGGTGGGCCCCAGGATCCAGGTATCCCCCCTCTCCGCCAGTGTCTAGGTTCTGGTGATTAACCATCAAGCTAACTTGCAACCCAAGAATCTGTACATTTATTACCAAAAGATGCGGAGGAACCTTTAAGATGGGCTCACAGGCTGTGGGTTGCTAGTTGGAGAGTCACCCTGCCTGGGCTGAGCCCTGAGTGCCATGCCCCTCCACCTGGTCCTCTGAGAGGACTCACCTGCCTTTCAGAGATGCAGATGGGCTCCCGGAGCACAATCCAGGTGACACTCTCACTGAGAGGCGGAGTCGTCAGGGAGCCGGGGTAGGTCCAGTAGTGCCGGCTGTCAGGCAGGAGGCACTTGGGGTTGAAGCAGCTGAACTGGGCTTTGGTGCCCTGTAGCAAGGTGGAGAAACCCAGGAATCAGCACAGACCTCCAACTGGGACCAAACCAGCAGCTTCTCCACCTTTCTTTCTTTCTTTCTTTCTCTTTCTTTCTTTCCCTCTTTCTTTCTTTCTTTCTTTCTTTCTCTCTTTCTCTCTTTCTCTC